ATATCTGCATTTTTCACATGCGAGTTACCTTTATCTAAGTGTCGCCAAGAGTCTAGCATTGATTCCTGCAGTAATCAATGTAATATGCGACATTTTGGCACTTTGCATATTTATGTAGGGCTAAGTTCGTAACTTTTCCTGTAGTGAATTTTCAGTTCATTTACTGCCCGCGGATCTAAAGCGAAGTGTTTAAATAGCCGCCTATTAATATGGTTTCGAGCTGACTGGGCCTAAAATCCATTTGAATTTCAAGACCACTTTCTTGCACACTTCTTTTTACCGTTAATGAACGTAAGGAAACAGTTGAGAGATGAAGCGAAGGAATGCTCAGCAACAGGGGAGGACGTCATATCACTGAAATAGAAGCAGTAGGGACCGAAGATGGATCTTATCACAAGGCGATTACGGCAATAGTGGGACCATTGCCAGGGTATTGGCTGGTCGGAACGCAGGATCATTAATCGGATTTGGTAGTGAATTACAGTGAAAGATTCGAAGCAGCATTTACCGTTTTCCCAACTGACAGTTGAACAAGCTGGTTTCGCCGTCATTATTCCATGAGCAAATCCATCTGGTAATGTCTGCTGCTCTGTTCCAAGCCTATCTTCCGATCCTTTTTCTTTCAGCGAGTTCCCAGTCAGAAGAAGCCTGGAATGAAACACTTCTTACCCCAGAAAGAAGTTTTGAGCCTGTGGCTGAAGATTCACATGAGCTAGACGAGAGAATTGATATAGCAGATTGCGCAGAACAGCCGTTTATTCGATTAGAAAATATTCAGGGCCTAGAAATACCGACAGTTTCTTGTGATTTTACAGACCAGCAATCATCTAGACATGTGGATTTTGCGGTGCCAGATCAGCTGGTCGCTGCAATCCAAGCAGGGACTGATCCGGGATAGAATGCGTACTATTGAAGTTCCATATGTACAGATAGAGACCCTTCCAAATTCTGGGCTTTTTGATTGCTCAGCTTTCAGTGATGCAGAAGAATTTTTTCAACATGCTAACTCAATTGAAAGTCAGCGCAAGGATCATACATCGGGAACTGAAAGCTATGAAGCCAATTCGAAATTACTCTGAAGAAAATTCTCGGGAAGCCTATGGATGCAAATTCGTCGAATCCATACTCTCCACCAGTTACAACATCTGTTGCGTCCTCAGAACTGGGTGCACTACCACAGCTTTACAGTACTTCAACATTGAGATGAGCTTTTGACCATTGTCAATTTGGAACAAAACAGTATGAACTGTTTAAGCTTCATCTCAGAACTCACAATGGAAGAAGCAAAAATCGGTGCTACTGGCTTAACTGTGGCGAATTTTCCAAACAGTCGAGC